CCTTCAAGCCTCTAAGACCCCAGACGCTATACCTTTTGATAGCTGCCACCATCAGCTTTCTTCAGCACATTTGCTTATTCACCTGCTTTGTCTTCAGCAGTTGTGTCTGGAAGGGCTCACCATATATTTAATACCTAGTTGCCCCCCTTGCAGCAACATGACAGGTTTGAACTGTTGATAGAGTTTTGAACTTGGAAGAACTGATCCAGAAAGTTTCTCCCTGGCACCAACCCCCCATGCCTAGGGTAAACAGTGCGATTGAATGGGAGATCAAACTGGAGCAACAATGCAGGGGTTGTGGCTCACAGTGGAACTGTATTTGCATAGACTCCTCATACCTACAGTGTCTAGAGTGATGTGTCATTGGAAAACGATGTTTCTAGTGCAATTGCTTACACCCCAGGGGGATGACTGACAAGCTTTTAATGATCCTGTGGGCTTTAGTTTTTCTGCCTGTAGTTTTTGTTGTCTGCTAGTTGGTTTGTTGCAGTTGTTGGGGTATCTGGTCTTGTGGGGTTTTGAATTTGTCATAATAGCAATGCTACAGTAAACCAGAGTCATGCAGAGCCCAGAGACAAGCAGATGGATTCTGGGTCCCCACTGAACTCTAGCTCCAATCCAACAACAGTTAGTTCTGCTAACAGGGCCCTGCTGGAGACTCATCTGCATGAAATGAGCACTGAAGATAAGAGTGCTACAGCAAAGTGTGGTGAAGAAAGCAGATGGTGCTTGGCTACCAATCTGAATAGTTTCTGGGGGTCTTAGAGGCTTGTATTCAAACAAGCAGCCATCTAAGCAGGGAGTCAGCTAAGCCCACATGGAAGTAGCACACCAGCTTGTGTGATCCAAAGATGACAATAATAAAATGCATATATGGTGAAAAAAGTGTCATAGCTAAAATTGTGAACACCCAATTTGTGGAAGGCCGTGGAGGATGGGGTGCCCAAACCCCATCTGCAGAATGTCTAATCAAATTAAGCCCCTGGCAGATCCTCTCTAGCCACAGGCAATGGTCTGGAATAACCTTACTATCAAACAGAAATCATTGTAATCCTGATGATGCTGCGTTAAGGCTGATACTTGGTCAAGTGACCTTCCTCTAGACCCAACCTGAATTTGTTCTAGGTACAAGGATCCCTTGCTTATTCCATGACAAAAAGCTTTTCTCTGGCTTTTTAAATATCGATGATGGTTCTTTTTTCTTGCTCATTGTTTATATTTTTAATCTTTAGATTACTATTTTATCCTAACCACTTCACTTTTGTTCTTTATTGTTTCTGTTGGGTTTACCTGTTTGTGACGCACAGAAGGACGGGATACATAGAGATCATAACTGATGCAAGTATTGTAGGGGATGGGGGAGTGGGGTGGAGGAAGGGATTTTGGAAGTAAACAATGAAGGTGGGAGGGGCACTGAGCACCAGAACTAAATATAATTACACAAATCATTTTAAAGGTGATTTAATCATGGGGGAGAAAAGAAACTTCTGAAATTGATTGTGGTGGTGACTGTACAATTCTTGATGTGATTGAACTATTGAATTGTATGATGTACTTATTCAGTGCCAATAAAACTATTTTGAAAAATCTCAAGAAACATAAACCTGCAAAGAAATGACTCACAGTTGAAGCACTGGGTTGGATCGAGTCTGTGGGTCAGGAGTAAGCTGAAGGCCTCCCTGATTCCTGTCGCTGCAGGGCCTAATAGAGAGGAAACAGGAAGATAAACCTGTGAGACCCCAGGCTGGTGGATGCTCAGCAGTTCCCTGATGTCTTCTGGAATCAGCTGTGCTATCAGAAGAGGTCAGTTGAACTAGAGGCAAGATTCCCCTCCAGCAGTAGAAATCAGCTCGTTTCCACGCACTGTCATTTCACACCAAGTTCATGTCATACTCTGATGAAGTGTCCCTTCAATTGTATCAAGGCGGTGACCAGGTT